CACTGCACCACCTGGGCCCTGCCTTCTATGATCCCACTGCACCACAAGGGCGCCGCCTTCTATGATCCCACTGCACCACCTGGGCACTGCCTTCTATGATCCCACAGACAGTAAATTCAAAACATCCTCATGGTTTTACAGTGAAAGGCTTTTTATTTAACCCAATGTCACTGACCGGAACTATTTTACTTTCTAAATGACAGACGTTACTCACCCAATGTAACCACTGCCTACTCATTGAACCCTAGTTTTGGAATAACAGGCACGTTTTGTAAAAGACTGCCATTACTAAAACATATATATTTTCTCTCATTTTTAAAAGTAGTTTGAAGACAGACCGAAATTATACAACTTTGTGGCCTGAAATGTCAGTTTTGCTTCTTTGCTGTAGTTAATTGGTTTTACTATATTACCATTTGTTTCAGTAATAAACAGTAAAGTATTTCACCAAATCCAGGGCAAAAGATACAGTGGTGAAAAGAAAATGACAAAACTAACAAAATACTGACCAAAAAAAAACATATTACCCTACAAATTGATTGTTTATTGTGCTTTACATGCAATAAAGTTGAAAGATTTATAAGCATTTCATTTTAAAAACTTTATAGTAATGAGATTTTTGGCCGCCTGTTTGGGGAAAATTGTTAAAAGTGATCAAATCAGACCAACAAATAACTTTTAAAACTTTAATAAGTTTTAATATAAAAAAAATAAGGTGATGTCAATTGCTCCACAAGAAAAAACACTGTATTTTGTTGTAATTTTTTTCCTGAAAAAATTCTCTGGTTCGTGAGAATGACCCAAATAAATATAAAATGGCATAAACCTCTATTCTATGGTGTGCAAGTGAGTTAGCAGCTGGAGCCAAAAACCTGTATGGATTTTTTATCTGAAGCATGAATGTAATAATCTTTGGATGGCCGACCATCCATAGTCCGTTCCATAGTCTTTGTTAAATGTTTAGACTTCTCTGACTAAGCAATTTGTTTTGAAAATGATCTTAAATGAAATGATTGTAATCTGCACTGATGTTGTGATGGGTCTGAGAGAGGCGTATTGGTTAGCACCCCCAGGGCTGGGGGGGTCCACTTCCTGCCCCCGCATGTCATGCCCATGCTTGTATATACTTCCTCCACCCTGAAATCCCAAAATATGCAGCCAACTGGTGTCACCCACCCTGTGATAGACTGGCATCCCATCTGGAGTGTCCCCTGCCCTGGGCCTCCTCTGCTGCTACCCTTAACAATCAACCAGAACGACACAATAAAAGCACCAGGGAAGCTAACAGGAGGCCCAAAATGCTACAGGAGTTCCATCCAGAACTACAAATATAATCACATGTGCGCAAGTTTCTTCAAAGATTTCTCAGTGAACTTCTTCTGCAAAGGCACTGAAAGGTCACATCCCTAATCTAGCCAAGCCTATGGACATGAACAGTGTGTAAACACTGTCTGATTGCAGGATGCAGGTCTTCTTGTCATTTATAAAAAAAATCTTGGTGGTGTAGCTTTCAGCTCTTCGACTCCAAGTTTCTGGGATTGTCTGCTAATCAGTGCAATAGACACTGCTTTGATCTCAGTACTTAAGCATAGACTAAAGCCTTACTATTTTGGTTTAGCCAGCCTAACCCTATTTAGCTTACCCTGGCTATCATTGTTGGTGCAGTTGTGCATACTGTATTTCTTGAAAAAGGTTTGTCAAATTCCACTATTCTTAAGGATCTGCTTCTTTTTTTCACCCAGCATCAGGACACCACTTGTGCTCGAGGCAGATGTGCAAGTCCCATAGCAGATGCTGACCCATAGAACAGATTGAGCAGCACTACACTCTGAGCAGCTGGCTGACCAGAGGGCTGACAGGTAGCCCCCAGCATCACCATTGCTTATTGCTCATGTAACACACTGTTGTGTGGCCTGCAAAATCCAAGGGGCCTTGGCAGGGGCGTTGCTAGAGATTTTGGGCCCCATGAAAGCATATCATATTAGGCCCCCCAGTCCAAACCAATCCAGTTATTTTCCAAATTTTTTAGGGCCCCTGTCACTCAGGGGCCCTTGGAATCGTCCTAGCTTTCCTCCCCCTTACGGCGCCCCTGGGCCTTGGTCCCTAATACATTGTTGCCACTTTTGCCTATAGTGAGTTTTTCATTTCATCCATAATTTATAACCAGTTATCTAAGGCACGGTTCTGCAAGCAGGGTTCATCCGGGACAAGATGCTGGTCCATTTACATTTATTTAGGAGACTCTTTTATTCAGAGTGACACACGGTTGAGAGGCACAGTCGCCAGTCCCTGGAGCAATTTGGGATGAGTCACATGCACACGGCCCCCTTAGCCACAGAGTGTCCGATTCCAATTGCAGGGCACACAAAAAGATGTCTCTACAATTCTGCACAAAAACCCAAATAGCCAGAGGAAACCCACGGAAACACAGAGCGACACAGCCAAACTCCAAACAAACATTTAAAACTAACCAAGTGACTCGAGTCTCATCTCCTCCATTTCCCCTGGTTTTCACTGAACATTAACTTTTAAGATTACATAACATTCACCACTATTGTGTCTGTTATGCAGTGCATAAGTTCCATTCAGTTTTTAAATTCAATATCTTTAAGTGTTTTGGAGAAATTTAATTGAAAAAAAATTAATCAATTATGCCAAATTACAACTAAAAGATGAAAATCGGGCTGATTCTCTTTGTTCCTTAGCCATGCACGCTACCACTATAGTGATTTTGGCACCATCGTGCTGCCATTCTAGGAATTACAACCTATGATGTAGATTTAAAAAAGCAGTAAAGTTGTAATCCATAAAAACACTGAACTTGTATGTCGAAGTATTTAAGTCAGGCATAGATCCAGCAACTTTAAAAGTTGCCTTTTGCCTTCCTAACAGGTCTCATATACCACAAATGGTCAACTGTCATTAAATGACTGATTGATGATCAAGCAGCACTCCATCCATCTGTCCATTTTCTAAAACTTCTTGTCCTTTTCAGGGTCACAAGGGCTCTGGAGCCTATTGGCACAAGGATGAAAACAACTGAGGATGGGGTGCCAACCCATCACAGGGCACAGTCACACCTATGGGCAAACTGGTAACTCCCATCAGCTTCAGCATGTTTTTGGACTGGGGGGGGCTGGAGTGCCCAGAAGAATCCCCACACTGAAATGGGGAGAATGTGCAAACTCCTCACACATGGAAACCTGGCAGAGACTCGAACCCAGGTCCCAGCGGTGTAAGGCAACAGTGCTAACCACTGCACCACCATGCCGCCCTCAAGCAGTGCTCTGTTTCGGTAAATAACATTACAATTATTATTTAGCTACTTTAGCTACTGCAGCTAATATCATACTGTCAACAAGATAAAACGATGCACATCAGTCAGTGACCTATTATAATACTCAGTCCTGATCCACTTATAAGCAGCTGTCTGTCAGCATGGAACCTGCGTAACCACAGCCGTATCTGTATTATTTCATTATCTCCTATTCACAGTGAGTCAGATTCAGAATAATCAAGTTGGCTTTCAGGATAGCTAAGGGCAGCTTATAGGTCCTGACTCTGGCCAGTAACTCTCACTTAGTGAGTTCAGTCTAACTGCCCCCCCGTCGTCCTCAGTAACTCCTCTTGGCGCTGTGGGAGATGGCACCCTGACCAGCATAAGAACAAAGAATGCCTTCCCAGCTGTGCAACTGTTCCTACTTAAACACAACCCTGGATCACTTATTGTGTAAGACTGCATCATCGTGAAATTTCTCAGAAGTTTCACTCTGACCAGTTTCCCTGCAAAGAATCAAGGAGTCATCTTTATTTTTGTGAACATTCCCTGGAAAATCAACAGTGCTTATCTGACTGAACATTTGAAATGTTATTTTTTATACTTTAGGGTTAATGACAAAATTCTCCTTTGTATTAATTAACTAAAGTTGTGGAGGAGTGTTGGATTAATGGCTCAGTGGGGGAGGATGCGGTGCATATGATTGTAAGGTTGCTGGTTCAAATCCCCTATTTCATCACTATGCTCATGAGCAATAACCTCAGCCCCCAATGGTTTCAGAGACACTGCTTTCTCAAAAAAGTTACTTTGGATAAAGGCATCTGCCAAATGTAATGTATGAATATCAAATTATTTGAACATATTAAATCAGCAGGGTAAAATCTCATACAGAAGAACTGTATTACATTTGCCTTCTTTTAAAGATCACAAAGTTAATCTGTTAATGGCTGAGGAATCGAACCAATAATAACATGAAAGCTGGTTATGCTGATTCAGTTGCTCGGCGGGTGACACTGTGGCTTTTCCACAGAGGAGGTTGTGGGTTTGAATGCTTCCCTGGCTCTGCGAGTGTGGTGGCTGTGGTTCCTCCCAGTTCAGAGATATGTGGTCTGTGCATATTGGTGTCTCTAAACTGCCTTTATTTTGTGTTTGTGCCCCGTCATGGACTGACGTCCTACTCACTGAATCCCTTTCTGCCTACAAGTATGCCCTCCAATCTCATGCCCGTGCTTTTAATAGGACTTTCTACTGAAAACATTTTTTATAAGTTTATTTTTGTGACTAAGTACTTCCTTTAGTAAGAAAACAAAATGTTACAAAGTCGATTTTTGTATTCAATCTTATTTGAATTCAAGGCTGTACACAGCCAGTGAAGAGAGGCGCGTGCTGCAGCGCGGTAGCCTCGGTCTGCGAGGCGCACTGAAACTCACTGGCTGTCAAGCGCTCTTTCTTGCTGCAGGCGGCGTGCTGACTGATCTCACCAACAGGGGCTTCTATGTAAACTGAAGCTAAACAAATACAGATGAATCTTCGAGCACATTCACAAAAATGCAGGCAATGCTACAAGGGCTTCAGATGACATTCAGAGCCCACAGGAGCAACACGCTGCACTTTAGGCGTTTTTTAATGTATGCGTTATGTATTATTTAATATAAGGGGTGATAATGGTGCCGCGTAGATCAGTAAGCCTGTTTACTCACTAGGCATATGTTGCAATAAAGTATCTGATTCTTGATATCTAGATATATCGTTTTATTTTTTTCTCGTCTTTATTTAGATTTGTCGAGGCGTTTTTAGTCATTACCAATTATTTTGATCTGGTGACTGACTCATTTTTCTCAGAATGAAGAATCCGCAGGCTGTTACTGAAGAGAAATTGAAGACCCTGTATGCCAAAGACGTAAACGGGATCAGAAAGTTCAAACGAAAAAGCAGAGAGCCGGTGAAACACGTTAAGAAAATGAAAAGTTACAAACGCGAACCTGAAATGGATGAGGAAGAGTTAGGAGTAAAGCGGACTGAGGAAACGAGAAGGCAAAGCGAGGAAAGGCTGCAGGAGCCTAACGGGGCTGCATGTAACGCCGATCACTTAAACTCAGCCATCGACATGAGAATCGGTGCTTTCCCCATGACAGCGGAGCGTCTTTCCTTGCAATCGCTGCACTCTGATCCCAACGCAGAAGACTCCTTAAGTAATGCGTCGCCGCAGGTCAAAAGCTTTGACTATCGGCAACCGTTTGCGCAAGACCAGCGTTTCCAGTCACGGATTGTATTGTGTCAGCGGTCTTCTGAAGGACCATTCTCTTCGCTCCCCAGGGCGTCTTACATCAACACCGGCGATCGGGCGACAGCATCGCCTCGGAAGCGGCCGGCCGAGACGTCTGGCGTCGTCACCGAGATCAAAGCCATCCAGCAGACTCGGAGGCTGCTGGCGAACGCCAGGGAGAGGACCCGGGTGCATACCATCAGCGCCGCCTTCGAGGCGCTGCGCAAGCAGGTTCGGGCTCTGCATGGTGCTGATGCGTGATGCTGCTGCTTAGTGAATTTCAGCTACAAAAAACATAATGCATGGATCATAGAAATCAGCCACAAAACAGTGAAAGGTCAAAAAATCTATGCATTTTAACACGATTTCGTTAACAAATCCCTTGCTATGAAATTAAATTTAAAGAAAATGTGTTAATTGAAAGACTAGTAATGGAAAAAAAATCCCCCTCTTTGTAATGTGACTTTTGAATATGATGCAAAAATGTAAGATTATGTAAAAATGATCTAGGCCTACTTGTTCCGTGCAAAGTTTTTAACTGCACTAAACATACGTCACAGAAATTTATGGTACTCTGAAAGCTAGGATAACAAAAACAAGTAATGAAAATGTTTCCTACCTCTAACTCGTTAATGGACATTTGCTGACCATGTGCCAAATTACTCATCTATTCTGTGCCACACTTCATGAACTTGAAAAACATGTAAAATCTAAAACGTTAATATGTATAATGTAGGGGCTCACATATAAATTCTTAAAAACATGTCCCCAAATGTCAAATTCATGCTTTAGCCAATGTTCATATACAACCTTAAAAACATAATTTTCCTCAACATGTATGTTTATATATTTAGTAAATGGTGAATGTGGATTTTATGATGTCTTACTGCTGGTTTCCAAGCCAGTGTCTGAGAAAAAAGTTTCTTCACACATGATGGAGAAAATCATCTTAAGGTTAAAGGAGGAAAAACAGATCATATACATAATTATTCTAAAGAGCTGCATATAGTTAGTCTGTCCATTGTTCCAAAATTCAAATGCGTCATGTTTTTATAATATAGTTTTATTTAGTTAATGTATGTCATATGCTTGTGTTACTGTTGAACTTAAATTTACATGTTATTAAGTTTAAAAAAGGCTGGATTTTGAAACATCAGAGATAAATCACTTATTGTGAATAAGGAGGCCTGTATACCTGAGTGCACAGACACGGTCCGACAGGCTCCGCCCCCCAGAGGACATCACGTGTGCTGTTTGGTGTTTCCACAGGTACCATGCTACTCCTATGGCCAGAAGCTGTCCAAGTTGGCTATACTGAGAATCGCTTGCAACTACATCCTGTCCTTGGCCCAGCTGGCCGATATGGACTACACTCCAGAACACAGCAACAGGAGCTTCACAGAGTGCGTGGAACAGTGCACTCGCACGCTGCAGGCCGAGGGCCGCTCCAAGAAGAGGAAGGTAGGCCGTCATCTTGAGCATGGAGCCTTCGAAGGAATGTGGCACGTTAGTCACGTTAGGGCGATAGTCAGCCCGTAGCTCACCGCTTACTATGGCCATTTGGCATGTAAAATCTTTGGGTTATGTCCAGCTGTAACCCAACTTTCTGAATCAAACTTTAGTCACCTCCCCATGTGACTCCGGAAGCATACGCATGTGTCGCCTCATCATCGCCGATTGGTGGATTAACAGATTTAGCAAGACTAGAGCTTAAAGGGCAAGTAAACCACTTTCGCTGTGTCGCTGCTTTCATGGGCCATATGAAGTATAGTTATATGTCATCCAGGTTCTCATTCCTGCAGTATGTTTTGCTCTTCAGTGTAATTTAAGAGGCTTGAAAGGACCAAACGTGTTACATAGATATATTATGGATCATATTGTGAACAAAAATAACCATTGTAAAACTATTCCATCCATCCATCTATCCACCTATCCTGCCATTTTCTGCCACTTTTCCGGGGTCAGATCATGGGGGCAGCAGTCTAAGCGGGGATGCCCAGACCTCCCTCTCCCCAGCCCCCTCCTCCAGGGGATACCAAGGTGTTCCCAGGTCAGCCGAGAGATATAATCTCTCCAGTGTGTCCTGGGTTTACCCCGGATCTCCTCCTGGTTGGACATGCCCAGAACACCTCCCCAGGGAGCCCTCCAGGAGGTATCCTGGATAGATGCCCAAACCACCTAAACTGGCTCCTTTCGAAGTGGAGGAGCAGCGGCTCTACTTTGAGCCCCTCCTGAATGTCTGAGCTCCTCATCCTACAGTATCTCTAAGGCTGAGCCCAGCCACCCTGTGCAGGAAACTCATTTCAGACACTTGTATTCACAATCTCATTCCTTTTTGTCACTGCCCATAGCTCATGACCATAGGCGAGGGCAGGAACGTAGATCGACTGGTAAATCGAAGGCTTTGCCTTTCAGCTTAGCTACAAAAAGAAATTATTCCATAATCATTAAAAAGACAGAAAAACTGTTCTCCACCAAAGTCCTGGTGTCTGGGGATCTCTCCAAATGACTTAACCAGCTTTAATCTGGCACTGTGATCCAACCGTCCCGAGTGCGATATCCCTGCTGTGTGTGGCTTGGAAGGCCAAAATGGGTTTCATTCCGGGTTTGACAAAGATCTGGTATTCTCACTTGTAAAGGTAACAAGGGCTGGAATGCACTCGTCCTAATTAGGGAAGACATTCCTTTACGACCCCTAACAGGGACCCCATTAAGTGAAATCATCATCAAGTGGTGTTTGAAAGGAAACTGGATGTTCAGCCAATTTTTTCCCTTCAATGAGGGAGGAAAAAGGGGCCCAACTGAATAAAGAAGCAGATTGGCGCGTTTGTGTGAAGTTTTATGACAATAGAAGTCATGTCAACTTGAGCTGAACTTCCTTCAGCTCTCTCCTGGAGCCAGATGTCAGGACGTGCTATAAATCAGCATGATTTTTAATGCCTGAATAAGGCTCCGGCTGGGAGGCCTTTCATTTCCACACTAACAGTTTAACCACTATCAACTGCTATTCCCTCACTTCATCTGGGCTTTTCAGTTCAGCTCCTCGTCTGAATCTCCTCTGCCGAAGCTTGTGGCCATATCAGCTTTTGTAAAGCCTCAGACTTTTAGTGAATAGCCATACCTTCGAACGCTAATGACAGTAACAACATCAAAGTCGTGGAGTGAAGTTCAAAGAGATTTGATTTTCGGGAGAGCTGTTAATAATAAATAACAATCAGCCACAATGAGCTTTATAAAAAATACAGCGTTATGTATTATGTATATAGAAGTGACTTTATTCTGGAATGTTTCATTTTAATTTGTTCCACAGCTGAATGTGTTATGAAAGTACTTAATTAAAGAGATCTGACAGCAGATGGTACCTCAGGGAATAAGGACAATGCCGGCTATAAAAGGGCTTGAAAGACTAGTGCTGGAAATCAGTGTGTTGGAATTAATGTGGGCAGTGCGAGCTGCAGAGGGTTTCCTGGTGAAGCACTGGCCTGACACTGTCGTTCAAAACCACTGCACACTTGTTGTTTTCCCACGTCATCCTGTCCAGTCCTCTTCAGCACTTTGACCTTCCGTTTGTGCCCTTTCTGGCAAATGACAAACTGAAGCTGAAAGTCAGACCGGTCATTTACACCCTTATCAGCCACAAACTGACAGCTCTCAACTGTATTCCTGACAAAACTCCCATTTCAGTTTTATTCCTGATATGCTGTTAATCTTGCTTGGTGTTGAATTATCCCGTAAGCATGCTGCGTTTTTTCTAGAGAGTATTTGTTGTGAAATTAGCTTAGCAGCAGAAAAATGGTTGTTTGTGTATTACATGACTAGTTCCAGCATAACTGCGTGAGCTTAACCCCACCCCCACACACACTGCCGTCTCTGAGTTAATGTGCTAACCCAGCGTACGCTCATTCAGTAGGGACCTCGCTGAGCTTCTTTTTTTGGCAGTCCCAGACACCAGATGTTCGTAGCGCTAGCAGGGAAGTCCTGCTGGCGCCACTCAGGGCAGAGGGCAGGGTGAAGGCACGCGAGCTGGGGCCCAGATAGCTCACACGCTGCAGGAATTGGCGCGATCCCCGGCCCAGTGTTGGCACATTCCCCAATCTCTCCCCCAGCCATCTGTTCCAAAAAAACACTTTGAAATAAAAAACACTCGTCGTCACTCGGGATACAACACTGAGAGCAGCTGTTACAGAGGCGGGGGAAGGGGGGCTTCTAGAAGAAATCCCTTTGTTAGAGAGAGAGCCAGCAAGTCTGCTAGGAAAAATACTTGCTGGGGAAGGAAAAAAAAGGAGAAACAGGCAGCAGAGCATGGTGATTAAGTGCATTAGAGCTTCTGCAGCCTTGTTATTTAAGCCTGCAAATTAGCCTCATTTTTAATAACGAAAATGTATTTCCGTAGCTAACATTTAAAAGTGATATTAACTTCTGTATTGACATACAGATAAGTCCCATAATATTTCTGTTGCTGAGTAAATTTCCTTAAAGTTGTCCAACGCCAAGGAATTCCAGCAGTATAATCTTTAAATTGTTGATGTTTGAATTGATGATGTTTAGAAACTGCAGGCTCTTAGTTCGTAAGCTGTAGCAAGCCGTTTATTGTATTCCAAAAAAAATATCTTCCCCCACAGGCATAGTATTTCATATATGTTAGTGTCCCTGTATGAATATGTTTGTGTAATTACAGTAACTGTAGTACTGAGTATAGTAATTAGGGTAATAAAAGTTCTACTGCAGTTTTACAGCCCCTGGAATGCGATGTTATTGTCAGATGAGTCTCCAGGTTCTGCTTGGGGTCGAAATGCATGTTCTGTTGCATACACATTATGGGCTTGTATTTCTGCATACTATATATTGTAGGATTGTGTTCAAACAGAAGATGGATGAAGAACACTAGTTACAGTGTTACCCTGTTTCAGACAGTTATTACTTTAAGAGAATTAAGAAGTGCCTTGTATATACAGTGTGTACATAGTTGATTATTTATTGATTGGGTGTTGAATTATAAAATATTTGGATGAATATGTCAGAATGATAGAAGATTAAATTCCTTTTGAGAACTGGTGGTACCACATTTGCAGAGGAACTTTGAGAAATAGTACTGATATGGGTGAGAAGTAATAAGAATCATTATCACTGCAAAAGTCAGTTGTTGTTATTGGTGAATATAATCCAGATATTTCTTGACTATCATCTATCTATCTATCTATCTATCTATCTATCTATCTATCTATCTATCTATCGTATATAATATATATAATAATATATATATGTATATTATATAATATATATAATATATATATAGTAATTGAAACAGAGGTTTTTAGAGGTTCAGCATATGTTTCAATGTAGGGTGGACACCCCTTTTCTTGGTGGAATCAGTCTAGAAGGTTTCCTTGATTTACTGTGGTCTGCATACGATACATGTAATTCTATTAGGGAAGTTTCCATGATTGTTGATACAACTGCAGCAGAAGAAGCATGATTAGAATGTTTTGCCATGGCAGTAAGTCTGGAATTAGATTCTAATTCGATAAAATGTGTATGTTTATTATTCCTTGCCAATCTGTGTATCCATTGTCAGTGATTTTATTTATCCATTTTTTAAATTGACTGGCTGCTTCCTTGTTAGCTACTTTTGGAGGGACACTCTGATGTAGACCAGATCCCTGGATAGACCATTCCCACTACTTACTGCTGACTGACTGCTGAAAAGGATATTGAGTGTCTTTTCAAAGTTTTTATGGCTGCCTCCTGATCTGTGCCTTTATCTTCAAGGTCTATCGGCGACTCTTTGGTTGCTAAGGTTGGATCTTTGCTTTCATTGACTAAGGGACCTTAGAAACTGTTGTGCATTTATTCTCAAATCACACAGGAAGTTGTGTTGGTTACTCAAGTCATTGTGTGTGCCTGATTTAGTTTAGGTTTGCTGTAGCAGATCGATACTCATAATCAATATGTAAAGTTATGTCCCCAGTAGGCATGAAAAATAAAAATATTACCAAAATATTTTATATACTGTAGTACATACTAGTTGTACATACTAGTAGTATATACTGCAGTAGTATATAGTATATAGTCAAAAAATAATATTACACTTATTACGTGTATTTTCAATCTTACTTGTATTATCTGTCAATGTTGTTAGCATTCTTTACGAATCAAAGGCTTAACTGTTATAAGGAGTCTCAGCACACCGTGACTGCACAGCTTCACTGAAACTCTCACACTTTATAGGCATGACTAAGGAAGTTTCAGCCCCAAGCAACTTACCTGAATTGTTACGTGTCTGCATTATAAAACAGTTGTATGGCTGTATTATAAGTTTCTTTGCATAAGTTTAGTCGGATCATTTATAATGATCTGGAGTTGCTGTCATTCAACAGACTGTCGCTGAGACCAAAAAACAGGATCAATCGCTCACATTTCGATGGTGATAGGTGGTGCTATTTTTAAACACACATTCCCGTTAAGCCTTCTAGAAGGGTCACCTGATGAATTGTCACTCTATAAAAAGTGACTGCTGCTCCAGGATTCCCGTGGTCAATTAAAACCCTCGAAGTACCGTCGAAGGTCATAGAAGAGTGATGAAAACTGCACGTCCTCACTGCTCCTTAAACACTGTGCACTTCCGAAGGCCTGTTAGTCGGGCAGTCAGTGACCTCAAGTAGCTTCTTATCGTTCCAGTTTGAATGGCACCAAAGGTAATGGCTGACATTTGATGTAAGCAGAACTTAACATGCACAGGACACCGAAATAGGGGAAAAAAATATATATATATATATATAAAAAAATAGGGAACCTCCAATTTCAACTAAGGGAGCTTTGCTTTGTATGAAAGAAAAGCAGATCTGCATTAAGCTGTGAAACATGGTTACTTTCAACTTCTTTGCTTAGATTGCGTCTTCAATTCCGTTCTTCATGCTGAATGACTTTTCTGTCAGGCAGCGATTTACCTGCCAGAGCTGACCTGTAACAATTCTATCATTAAAAGAGCGGCAACAGACCCAGATTGTTCTTTTTCTCCAGTTGATTAGCTTCATATCACAAACTCTGAAGCTGTGATTAAGGCTTCTGTAGATGTTTCCAAAGGACTACCTGTAAAACTGACTGATATACTCAGTTTGAATGCAGCTGATCAGAGCTTTTCATTTATATTACAATATTTCATGCTGTTGTTTTAAGTTACTCACATAATATAATAAATATATTACAGATTTGTGACAAAAAAATTAAAAAGATTTATCAGCATTATTACTGGCTTACAGCCTTAGTTTCAATGGTTTAATATCTTCAGTATGAATCATTCCTCACACTGTGTAATTGCTTAACATCATTGCCAAAGTTTTCACCAAATTTTTGGAAACTCTTCTTCTTGACGGATAATGGCTTGATTTGGAAAGAACAGGTCTTCTGTTGGGACTTGTTATTAAGGTCATCTACCACTCCTATGATTCTTCTCATCCCTGAAACCTAAGTTTCCATGTGAAATGAGTGGAGAGTAGGAATATTTCTTCTATATGTTTGATTCTATGGGAAGTATTTGCTGGTTGAGCTGCCCTATTCAGAGCCCGTCTCTACGGTGGCTGTTGGCTCCGTCAGCTTTGTGATTTTTCCACTTCCTGAGGAATGAGACAGGATAGTCCTTTTCCCTTCGGATTTCTGGAATCACAGCTCGACCTCCTGAAATGGTTCCCTTCAAATCACACCAATTTATTTTCTGTGGAGACTGGGGTCTGTCTGCTCTCTCAGATGAAGGACAGGAAGTAATTTCTATATATACATATAAATAGACTTCAGCAGACCTCTACTGCTCCCCATTCCTAGCTTGCACTGTTTAGGATACTTCCAGAGCTTATCGTTAATGCACAAAATGCTCAGTTTCTAGACTGAATCTTCCATAAACCTTTAACTGTAGTGGGGATGACATCAAATGCTAATGACAAGATGCTCAGCGTACTGTCCTCTGCTGCCCATACGTGTGAAAGGTACTCAAAGTTAAGGAGTATGATTTCCTTGCAGTAAAATGAATCAGCATTCCAATGGTCTGTACATTCTCAGACTGGCAAAGCAGAGTGTGTTCGGTAATCGAGGCAGACGGTAATGTTACAGACCTTGAGTATTTCTGGAGCTACCATGCCGACCTGTGTAACTTTACCAAGATGGCTATACCATTGTAATTTGACATTTCGGCAACTATCTTTGTTTTGTCCCTCCGCAGGAGTAAATTGGATTAAGGCCCACAGATCCTTCGAAACATGCTGGGACATGTTGAGAAGACAAGGCTTTTCTGTTTGTTTCTACACGGCCTGTGTAGACCTCCTGTCCAGAAGGTCCTCAGTCACCCATCTCCTGCCAGCTTCCCTCTGTGCACAGCTCTGCGTCCTGCCCACAAGACGCACAATGGCATCCCCGTTACCCAACCCTGGCTCTGCACCAAGCCCCTCATTCTGTAGCCTTAGCTTTTCCTAGAGCTGCATTTGACCTGAGGCTGAACAGCCATCTAAAAGGCATTACTGAAACAGCCAGAGGTTTCTCAGACTAGTCAGAGACTGTAACCACAGGATGAATTATGGAAGCTAACAATCTAAACCAAATGCTTCTGAACTTGCTTGTTTTTTAACCCACAGATATCTTGAGTAGTAATGCTGAATGCTTTTTTTCCTCCTAAGATTAATTTTGTAAACATAATGATGTTTCCTTCACATATGTGAATGTCCTCTTACCATTTTTGTAAAATGTTCAGCTTTTATTTTTAAATATTAGATCATTTAATGCCAAATATGAAGCATTAAGGTAAAAACATCAACACCCAGTTAAGAATACAGCATTATTGTAGTCTAAGAAACAGGGCACTCTGAAATATTTCAGCAGTGAACTATTTCACTATCGTCCTTCATTTCCCCCAAGTAATCTAGCTCTCAACACAACTTTTCTTTGCTATATATGAATTGTTTACTCAACAGATTTTTCAGCATGCTTGAATATAAGTTTGGAAGTAGGCATTTCTGATTATGCACCAGGTTACAATCACAAGACATCGTTTCAAAATACCATTGAAGGCTGTATTTTGTCAAATTAAAATGCACCACTGTTGTCATTTCTTAAGAGATTTATACAGATTGACATATATAAATGTGTTTTATATTTCATCAAATATACAAGAATACCATGATTAAAGAAGTGGTGACTTTGTTCTAAGAATTCGGAGGTGATTTAAAGGGTAATCTGAAGGTTATATGAAGGAAGTTTTTAGACGTATGGGCTAACATTGAAAACGTGGGGTAATCGCTGCTGATGTTAGAGGTTAATGATGTATGACTGAGGAAGAAATGCCATGTTGCCAGTGAATTTCAACCAGAACCCGAGTCTACACCATCCTCAGCGGCCGACTGACAGCATACCCAGAGACTGAAGACTTTCTGTTTCTGAGGCTTGACTTTTTCTGGAGAAAGACAGCCATGCATCAAATGTGCAATTTCAATAAATAACTTGTTGCTAATTTTCATTAAAAATGACATTATTTTGGGTATTCTGTTCAATAATCACAGTGCAAGACAGACTTCACCTGTTTCTAGATGTGCTCTTATCCTGACTGAATATCGGCTGATCACCTATATATGAATCTTGCTGATTTCTAACCTGTAAGATCTAAGATACTCTTCTCACAATACTACTCAGTGTCTGCTCTAGTCATTAACCATTGATCTAGCTTATAGGAGGTTTGTTTGGACAACCTAAACTGCAGTGTCCTTTAATCCTCTTGCAAAACAAATTTATGTATGACTGTATACTTACTATGTGAGATTGCTAAATTTAAAATTATAATGCTTGGCGCGAGTTCTGTTTTAAACATCCTAATAAACAACTGAGAACCAGTGAAGTTCTGCTGTCCAGCCCAGTGTGCAAGATTTACCTAGAACATTCTTTGCAGCTGATGCTTTACAGTGAAGGTATGATTTGCTGGTTGTCCTTGGAGATACACTGTAAAATACATTTACATCTGCAAGGTTAAAAAACGCAACAGCATCTACACTGGGACATACTGCTTCCTTCTAGAGGTCATGACTGGCATCAGGCGTCAATATTATAAGTATTCTGATAGACATACGATGTTATAAAGATATTTTAATAAATTAGATGAGGCATAAGGCAGGGAACACCCTGGACAGGACACCAGCATGTCACAGAACACATACAGTGGCATGTGCCATCATACTTTATGGCAAGTTAGAAACATCAGAGCACCTATCTGCATGTACACAGAGGAACAAGTATGGAGGGAACATGCAAGCTCAACACTCCCCCCCCCCCCACATGCCTGCATTATTGTCTGGGGGTATCGAAAGGTGGAATATCAGTGGTGTGGTGAGTAAGTATTGTTCAAAGGGATATTGTAATATTAGCCTTTTCTCCTCAAAACAACTGAACTCGAAGCTTGTCATCGCCTTGGAACAAATCCTGTCAAGGAAATCTATCAAGCGTCAGAAACAACTCAACAGTGCAAACCAACATGACTCTGACAGTAATTTGTAGGCACTGTTTTTAATTTTTTGAGTATTAGTATGATTATGTAAATAAACACAACCTCAACTTATCAATTTGACTGCAACTTAATACGTGTTTGGCAAATCCGGGCACTCAGCCTGTGGAATATGAGTGCTGTAAACGCTGAATGCATTAAAAGAGAATGTGGTCTTATCCCTTTGGATTCTAAACCTATAAAAGGTAAACAGTAGCCTAGATAATGGTAAAAAAATTCTCTTTGAGAACTGTATGAAACTGCCAAGTACTGGCCGTGATCCACACGCCAAGAAACACGAGAATGCTTGTTCTATTACTTTGCAAACAACATGAGATCATTAAATTGCACTGGAATTTCCCTTTAAGGTTGTAAGGAGTAACCCCCCTAACAGAGGAATATACTGTACAAATGTAAGCATACTGGTATTTAGAAGGAAGTTTGGGGATGACCTACAATCGAATGCATTCATATAGCTACAGATCTTGGGAAGGCTTTGTCCATTAGCTGAGCTGATCATACAAAGTCCTTATAATATAAAGTTAAACTCAGCTGGACATAGTTAGAGTTTGCCCAGGGCTGTTCAGTTATTTTACTGAAGACTCATTCCAGCCCCATAGGTGGAGGAGGACGTCCTACCAGCTCATACTCACATGACCCAAATACGGGCCCACCTGCAGGCCACAAGCTGCAACAAAGAGAGCCACCAGCGCAACCAGGTCAAATAAACCCAGGTGGACTGAGGCTGACAGAACCCCCTTTGGTGCTGCCCTGCAGGGCTTAGATCCAGAGCCAGATCTTTCTGGAAGGTTTGGCTTTAGATATTTGGCCATCTCTTGCACAGCTCTGAACTACCAATATGCAGGCCTATCATGCCCTCATGACAGTCCCTGGCTGGAGACTTCTGGGACAGAATGGTAGCAGAATGACTGACACGGCAGCTGGGGCCGGCGATAACGACATCTGGTGGACGTTGGATGGCTTTGTTTCTTCTGCTACCCTGGGAATTGGGACTGTTGGCATGGCTGCTTGGGAGCCTTGATTGACAGTTTGTCCTGCAAGCAGTATGCTAACACCTGCAGTTTCTGGATGACAGGTGATGTTGATCCGGACCCTACAGAAAACACTTTGCTCTACCGGTCTGGCTGGAAATAGTTCGTCAGGTCACTTCCTGCTCTGGCCCAAAAGCCTCCACAGGGTTCCACACCTCAAGTGATGTTGGAAGGCAACATAGGGCAGAGTGGGTTGGGTTAGACTACAGTGTTGTTGCTGTTTTTTTTGCCCCTGTAAACAGCATACATTTCTTTAATACCCCTTGGTCCTTGGATTTCCTGCCCTTTTCCAATCATTCTACATGCGCCAATGCTGTTGGGTCATCCTACCCAGAAGGGGGTTACCATCTTGAACGCTATAGGAAATATATCATTTAAAACATAAAATAAGCACTAAAAATTAATTAATTCAATGTGCTGCAATATTTTATGTGTTTAAGCTCTTCAAAATAAAATCAACTCAAGCTACCACAAACTTTACAGCATGGGCCAGAGGCACAAATGGTATTACAGTACATGTGAATGTTTAATGTATATGTATGCAGAAAATAATAGGAATTGTAAAACCAAAATGGACACAAACTGAAAATGGGTCTTACCCTCAGGTACAATTGTACATTCTAACATTTACACTAATGCATTTCTGACAACTTTACTCCATAGGCTAAAAGCATGCAGCCTGTGTTTTGAATATGCTGTGTAGTTTTTAATTTTGACTACCCAGTACTATAGTACTGGGCCTCCATTTTTACTAAAGCTAAAGCAATTGTATCTCACACACGTTGTATCTCAGCACCAACCACTCCGTAAAAGCAGTAATAGCCAACAACTTTAACTTGCGCATTATTCATTAAATGTATTTGTTTAATAGTGTTAATTTGGCACTGAACAAGCCATCTCACATTAAACTGCAAACACACACACACACACACATATATATATATATGACCGGAATAAGCAATTAGAAGATGTACAGATGGATGAAAACTGCCTTGTTCTTTAAGACCCCTTTGAATATAACATAGGCTTACATGCAAGTTGCATCTGGATAAGTCCTCCTGGAAAGTAAAAAGAAAGGAGAGAGCAAGAGAGAGAGAGAGAGAGAGAGAGAGAGAGAGAAAGAGAGAGAGCGAGAGAGAGAGAGAAAGAGAGAGAGCGAGAGAGACAGAGAGCGAGCGAGAGAGAGAGTGAGAGAGAGAGAGCGAGAGAGAGAGAGTGAGAGAGAGAGAGCGAGAGAGAGAGAGCGAGAGAGAGGCCGTGTAGCATGAAGTCTGACTAAAAGCTGTCTGTGAGTGTGGGCTGTTTGCATCTGCCAGCTCTGAGCCCACAGAGCTGGAAGCAGTTCAGTCTTTTACAGTCCTTCAAATTGAGGCTGGAGCCTGAGAGGAAATACTAGTATCCTGTATACACAACTTCTGTCTGTCAGAAAAAAATGCAGCAAAATGGAAAGCGTGCAGCACCGCCGGGGATCTGGTTCTCACTAAGAGCCAGTCGAGGTTCATGGTTGAGTTAAAAGACGGCAAATGGGGATCTGCACGGCGGCGCCAATAAAGAGCAACATTGGTATAAACTACCCAAAGTCTTCTCAGACTCCCAGAGCCATTTAATCTGTGCAGGCTCACTGCTCAGAATTTGCTGAATGGTTTTCAGTCCTCCGCTTTTATCTTTCAGGAAGGTATCTATTATGCCAGTGATCTGTATGCAGGGAAAACATTTCCCCTTTCGGGGTCTTGTGCACAATCAGACTTTCAGATCTTGATTGGTAGACCGGCTGTGCATTGTTAACCACAAGTATTACTTACACTGATTACACTTTCAGTTACACATTTTCAACTTTGTTTCCTGTAATTCAAATTAAAGTTTAGCTTTGTAATTTATAATTATAATAATATTTCCCTCGGAATAATAAAAATATTCTGAATGTGAAAATAAAATGAGATACTAATAGATTAAAAAACTAGCAAACAGCCAGAAGATCTGCTTTACAATTAAAAACAGTACTTAACTGCCCTTCAAAAATACAGGCGTTCAAATATCTGTAAGAAAAGCCGTTCTTCATCATTACTGCAAAGATGGAATCGGTGATTGGAGCGATTTTCATAATAACAACTAGCAATAAGTATTATTCATGATACTTTTAAAACTGTTAAACCATTCATATACAATCGCATTACATTAAAGTACATAGAAGTGAAATTCAGGTACTGTCCAGCTGCATTTTTCAGCCTCTTGGGCTGTTTCAGATTCAGAAAAGACGTTTTCAGGCGCGTTCAAATGTAGCCATCTGCTGGCCGGACGGCACCATTACAGGCTGGTGAGAAATTGCAAAAGCTTAATAGATCCAAGGAAAACAGAGAATTAAAATAAAGGCTGCAATTGCGAGAGGGGCAGCACTCCTGTGTTACAAAGAACGGCTCATGCTTTTCTAAAGCTTTATCTGATCTCTCACGTGGGTTTGTGACAACTCCTCCACCTTGTTCCCATAACTCGGTGATTGGAAGTTTCTCTGTGAATGTCTGCTTTATGACATGACACCCAGATAGTTTAGTATATTTGTCATTTTTTGGAATATGTAAATAGACGTATATGCAAAACGTTATCTTGAGCTTCACAGTGGCTTTGAGTATCCTTTGTGCCCAAACAAACACTGCTCAGTATTTCAGAATAAAAGTACCTGCCTCCGCATCTCCTTGGTAGGGAGAGTGAGTCTCAGGCAAAATCCCAAACGCAAAGACAAATGGGGTCTGACAGTCAGGGATTAAGTCATTAAAAAATACAGATTGGGTGAGCACTTCAAAAAGAATGGACACAAAACAGACACTGAATAGGCCTGTGAGAGCAGCCCACTCAACCATGAAGAAGTGCATACGGTTGAGTACCACCCAGGCAAAGCCTACATCAGAATAGAAAAGAGCAGCCAAGCAAACGGGAGCTGTTCTGGACATCCACAAGGGGGAGCTAGTGAGCCACAGACAGTGTGGCGATATCAACAAGGATTTGGTGGCTAAAACGGCATGTTAGCATGTTTATTACACCAATAATTCGACAACAAAACTAATGCAATTTCATCAAATTTCATCTGGACCTCAAACTACAGATATGTGTCCATTTCACAACCAGACTATTTATGCAAAGTGTGTAACTCAGAATAAATTACCACTATACTTTTGGATTATAAGCCTAAATAAAAGAGCAATAAACTGAGTTGTGTTAAATAAATTATCAAAATTAATATATAAGCATCTTAAATGTATTACTAAAAAGCTGACAAGAAATAGAAATTTCAAACTTGTTATGTAAATGCTACCA